CCCCCCCTTCTCCCCTTCAATGAACATTCTCTGTCTGCAACTAAGCTCTTTCATCATTCCAAGTTTTAAAAAAACTAACAAAAAATCCATACATTTCACGTTCACAGAAGAAAACACAGACACCCGACTGTAGCATTGATTGATGATAGTGGGCAAACACTTTCAAAACTCCTAAAAGACACAGTCATGTACTTCGAAACCCAAACATGGACCAATTCTATTCAGCGAGCTCTGAATCATTAGCAAATTTAGTCAGAAAATGTTCTAAAACCAGTCGTCTACTTCACCAAGGTATTCTGAGTACATGGCACCGCGTCTAGACCCAAGACTACATTAGTGGTTCACACACAAAAAAACCCCAACATTATCGAAAGGCAGGACAAACAGTGAGGTAGAAATAGAGACAACTACTATTGAACCGAAAGAAGGATAATACTAAAAGGGACAAATTTCTGCACCGTATAAATAGGGCTGAAGAAAATCTCCTCTAGACAGAATAGAAATTACCGTCTCTTAACAATGAATTTGCATTCACAGCTTTCTCGACACACACACACACTAACCCAAACACACACACACACACACTAACCCAAACACACACAAAAAAAATTTCTTCGAGTGTTAGGTCTGGGGCAGACAATGACGATCATGGTACCTCATTCCTTCCTACTGTCTATCTTCCTGATCGGCTCGGCTTTTCTTTTTGAGTTATTCGTTGCAAAGTTGCTCATCCCATCTGTGCGTGTTGTTCTTTGTCTTCCTCTGTTCTTCTTACCCGCTATCTTTCCTCATAGCAGAAGTTTCTCTTGTCCAGTTGATCTATTTATGTGTCAAAGAATCTCACTTGTCTGTTTCTGATGGTTTTAAGTATGGATCTTTCCAAACCTGTCATTTGGAGCACTTCTCTATTTGTTTTCCTCTCTGTCTGAAAACTACTAATTAAGCCAAAAAATAAAACAATAAAAGCAAACAAAAACAAAAAGTAATCAAAATAATCAGAAACAAACAATTACAAAGTCGGAACTACATTTTGCTCATCCACGCCAATAACAACAGCAGTAATGACAATGAAAACAAAAAATAGCATCAGCAACCTCATTAGTGATAACAACCACAAAAACAACAACAACAACAGCAACAACAACAACTGTAAACGCACTTAACTTATGGAATGCTTCTGACGAAAAAGTTAAGCAAAGACTCACAGCTTCCTATGAGAAGAGGACAATGCTGAATGTCCATAGGAAAGTTCTCCAGGTGCATACGGCATGTAGCTTGGATCGTCAGACTGGGGAATGTAAATCAAAGTGTGCCATTGTAAAAACGCACTAAATACTACGCCCGATTTGGGTATTTGTAGACTATCCCGTCCACTCTATAAGCATATGATAGAAAGTGTGAGAATATTTTTGTTTAAAAATGGACTACTATCCCTCTTTATTTAGGTTGATATAATTGCGTTTCGTTCATACTTTTGTTTTCAGAGACTAATCCCCCTCTCCCGCACCGATTTTCTGTTTTACAGTATAATAATATGGATAATTATTGTAATTAGTGTTCTACGCTCCTCTTGACAAAATTCAGATAACCCTGTTTGTTAGGGTCAACACAGATACAGCCTCCCAGCAGAAAGACTGGGATACTCTGTAAAAAAAACTTCCCTACTTTTGTATCGAACTCGTGTCTTCTGAGTGAGACACAGAAGAACCTGACGATTGCACCACTGACGGCATTCTTCTACTGTTTTGTATAGTTTGGAATGAGTTTCACACCCTTTTCAACACCGTGGGACCCTTTAGGAACATTGCGAACACCATAATAACCGATCTGCAACAAAGGAAAGACAAGGTTTTAGTACATTTCAAACTATAATGCAAAATCACAACCACGTGTCTGCATATTTCATAGTGTTTATGTTGTTACAAGCCTGTTCAAATTTAAGATGAAAATAAAGCAAAATGTAAGAAATATGTACAAAAAGGAAAGTTCCTAGACGTTTTTTTCTTTTTACATAGGTTAGCACAAATGCTCACAATGACCGTCATATTCCCACTCTGTTTCTGTACGATTGCCCAATCAAGTGCAGATCTTTCTTAGTGAGTGCAGGGTCATCAAAATAACTGGTGGGTTGGTTGTCTCCAAAAAAGGGTACGTGTTCGTTCTATAAGTGTCCATCTTTTTGTTAGCTTCTTATTCTGTTTGCTGTCGTCTTCGCTCTCCTATCTATCTATCTATCTGTCTATCTGTCTGTCTATCTATCTATCTATCTATCTATCTATCTATCTATCTATCTATCTATCTATCT